TAATCTGTCTGTTGATAGAAAAACAACTTCTAGTTCTATTTTCCTCTTGTTTCTTTAAAAATGCATTATAAAACTCTGTTTGTTTGTTTGTTTTTTGGCTTTTTGTAAGCTACTTTGAGGGCATTTGTGGATGAGTAATCATATAAATAGGAAAAGTAAATAAATAACTCAATAAATGAATATATTGAAAACGCCATAATTATTTTTGTGTTGTTACTTAATAATGAGTGCACTCCTTTGTGTGCCATCAGAAATACTATAAAAAGCAATTTTGATGTGATTTTATGTGCATTGCTTGTTTCAAGATTTGTGTGCCATCAGAAATACTATAAAAAGGATTTTATGTGCATTGCTTGTTTCAAGATTGTTTTGGCATATGATTTTACTGGCAGAACATTGTGGAAAAAGGTTTCTGGATATTTTGGAAAGTTAATCAATATTTTTTCCTCATATACTTTGTCAATGCATATTGAGAGAGTGTCAGAAAGAAATACGTATGTGTGAAAGGGTGGTGCAGGGAGGTTAAAAATGTATCAGAAAGGCACCACTGTACAGAAGGACGAGAGGCATGGAGCCAGCTCCAGCCTTCTTTGTGAGGAAAGATTTCACGAGCTCCCTTCAACTTACCCATGAGAAATATGGCACAAGTTCAGTGAAAGAGCCATGTTTCCTGAATGGAAGAAATGTGGAAGATCCATTTTGGAGTAGTTCCAAAAACGATGCTGAAGGGAAGGTACTTTTCCATATTGCCAAAGTTTGACTCAGCCTTTGTTTTAGTCAGCTAAGATCAAGAAAATTACACACAGAGGCTGAAATCCTGTTCCTTAATGTACACCACATTGCAGCCTTCAGTCCATTCCTCCAGCTAAACAAACCATTCCTACTGCAGTTTTTAGAGGCACACACAAATGCATGTGCATGCGTGCCCTAAGAATCTCAGCAGGGACAGTTTGCTTACTGAGGAAGAACAGACCAAGAGTTATGATTTGGCTTATAGTAAGCAGCAGGATTTCAGCCATAGTTTTCAGGTATTTGCCAGATCCTCCTCTTCATGACTGCATGATCATTTAGCACAGACTTTCACAGGTTAATAATTTTCTCTCCTTTGGCACAGGACGCAAGAGAACAGATCACCTTTACTGAAGAGAGCATACAAGTTAAATTGTTATATGGTGTTAAAGAAATGTTTTTATTATTGAACTAGCTGGAAAGCAGTTCAGCCAATGTCACCTGATAATACTCAAAATGGTCAATTTCAAAGCAGGAAGCACAGAGTTAAAATACATTTTTGTCATTACATCTGCAGGCTGTTGTTAAGTGCTGTCAAGTTGTCTTGGACTTATGGCGACCTTATGAATGAGAGATCTCCAAAATAGCCTGTCCTCAACAGCCCTGCTCAGCTCTTGTGAACTCAAGTCTGTGACTTCCTTTAGGGAGTCAATATGTGCGGGTGCCATTCCCAAGGTTGCTAAGCCGCATGGGTGTTCTAGTGAGGGAAAACTCTCCTAGCATCCTGTGGCTGCTTCTGAGGGGAGGAGTTGCCACCATTCCACCTCTTTCTCATTATTATAGAGAGCTTGCCATAGAGGCCTTCCCTTAGGCCAATCAGAGGGCTTGATTAATTGCCTTTCCCCAGACCAACCCTAATGTAACCATTGTCCTATCTGAACCCTGTCTACTATCTGTAATGCTGCCACTACCTGTGACCTTGTAATGTTAATAAAGGACAGTCTCCTGGGGGCAGAGAAGGAGAACATTGCAGAGGGAGAGAGAGACATACGAAGAAGCCAGACGACTTCTCATTCTGCTTCCTTGCTGAGTTGCCCACCAGGAGTACTGCTTGCAGACATCCATCTGTGTGTGTGGCTGACTTCTTTAATCTATTGCTAAGAGACTCTTTGCTATCCTGTTATCCATTATCTGGTGATCACCACAAAGCCTATCAGCCTGCTCATTGCCTGAACCCAACATCAATACACCTTATACTGTGGACCCTCAACTTACGGAATTAATCCGTATTGGAACGGTGGCCACAGGTCAAAAATTCCATAGGTCGAGGGTCCATTTCCCATAGGAATGCATTGAAAACCAATTAATCCGTTCCAGCATTTAATCTGTACCAGCTTTTGGCTTCCTGGGCTTCAATACCCCGAAGAGACAGGAGGCAGGGGGCACCGGGGACAGGAGACAGAGGGCAGTGGGTGCAGCTTTAGAAGCCCAGGAAGCCAAAAGCCAGCACGGTTTAAATGCTGGAACAGATTAAATGGTTTCAGTTTGTGGGGACAGGAGGCAGAGGGCAGCAGACCAGCATGGATTAAATGCTGGAACAGATTAAATGGTTTTCAGTTTGTGGGGACAGGAGGCAGAGGGCAGTGGAGGTGGTTTTGAAGCCCAGGAAGCTGAAAGCTGCACCCGCCCACCACCAGCTTTTGGCTTCCTGGGCTTCAAAACCCCCTCCACTGCCCTTTGTCTCTCGTCCCCATTGTCCTTTGCCTCCTGTCCCCACAAATTAAAAATGGGGACAGGAGGCAGAGGGCAACGGGGACGGGAGATAGAGGGCAGTGGGGGCGGCTTTGAATTTCCTGCCCTTTCCCCCTGCCTTTCGTCAAACCTAAATTTTGTGGCCGGAGCTTTTCGTATCTAAAAAAATTTGTAAGTAGGGACCTTTGTAAGTCGAGGACCACAAGTCAAACCTAAATTTTACTTGGTCTTCCTCTTTTTCCTGCTGCCTTCAGCCTTTACTAGCATGATCGTCTTTTCCAGAGAATTTTGCCTTCTCATGATGTGTCCAAAGTGGCACAGCTTCTGTTTCTTCATTTTTGCTTCCAGAGATAGTTCAGGCTTGATTTTATCTAGGAGCCACTTGTTCATCTTTATGGCAGTCCAGGGTATCTGCAAAGCTCTCCTCCAGCACCACATTTAAATGAATCTCTCTCTCTGTTTTCCTGTCAGATTTCTTTATCAGCTTTCACACCCATATATGCTGAGTAGAAATACAAGAGTGTGGATGATCTTGGTCTGTTCATGACGCATTCTTACACTTGATGATCTTTTCAAATTTCTTCATTGCTGCTCTTCCAAATCTCAGTCTTCTGTCTCTCTTTATTATGTCCTAATAGTAGCTTATTGTTTACAATACAGGACACGTATTAGGAATATCTAAGCTGAGACATACCCACCCATTTCTTGCAGAACAACCCAAAGTTTTTTATTATCCACACAGTGAAAGGCTTTCTGTAGAATATAAAGCATAAACTGTTGCTCTGAAATTCTTTGGTGTGCTCCAGTAGCCAACATATATTTGCAATATGATCTCAAGTGTATCTTCCTTTTCAGAATTCAGCTTGAATATCAGGCATTTATTGGTTTATATAAAGTTAAAAAAAGTTTGTTTGTTTAATATAATATACCACTTCTTTAATGTAGGATTTTAAAGCTAAAACTTAAAAATTCCACAGACCCCACAATACATATGACAACATGGCAAGTAAAAAAATTATTCAAAAGGAAAAAAAGAGAGAACAAGAAAAAAGAGAAAAAGATTAATATGAACAGCATCCAGAAGACACAGTTGTTGAGGGCAGCTTTGAATAGTTTTCAACAATTTTCCTGAACATAAGGAGAGAAACTGCCTGTCATATCTCTATTCCAGAGAGAACACTTGAGTATAACTTTGCTTACATGGAAAGTTAGAGCCATGGTCTTGTAGTTATTGGTTTTCTTGGCATCTCCTTTCTTGGGAATTGGAATGTATATTAATGTTTCCAGTGGAGGGGGCTTGTTTTGTTTTTTATATTTATTGGCATATTCTTGTTAGGATTTTGATTGATTCAGTCTCTGTGACTTGAAATAATTCTATCTGTATCCCATCTCCCCCACATGATGTATTTGTTCCCAGTATTTTCAAAGCAGCTTTCACTTCCCTTTCTAGAACTTCAGGTTCTTCATCAAAGGATTCCTCTTCAAAGGAGTCTGCCATCCTTTTATCTCTTCTGTATAGGTCTTCAAAATACTATTTTCACCTTCTCTTTATTTTCCCCTAGTCAGATAGTGTGTTTCCCTGCTGGTCTTTCAGCATTCTTAAACTATGTTAAAATTCTCCTTTGATTTCTTGTTTTATCTCTTTTATTATTCTCCTCTACTTCTTTGTACTGGCCATTGTAACAGTTATCTTTGCCTCTATGTGACAGTTGCAGAAAAGCTACATTCAGAGTTCTGACATTTATCTCTGTTTTGTTTTCCTTCTTTTGTGTTCTAGTCATCTATGATTATAAGTAGACATGGGGACAAATAAAAAACAGATTGTGATATTCATTTTAAAAAAAGCTGATTCGTAAAATGTCACCCCAGGTTTTTGGCAGTTTGCAAATCAATAATGAATTTCTGATTTTCCCCAGGGAAGAGTGTCATCAGTTTAACTTTCAACAAATTTGGATGTGTCTTGCGAATTCATTTTTCTGTTGTTTACTGTTAAATGGGTAAAGAATGGGGGGCATATTTTGTGTCCATGAACTACGGAGAATCAAAGTTGTCACATAATCAAGGCTGTTATTTTGAAACAGTTATAGGGTTTCTCCCTTATTTTGTTTACTAGAATGCCATAGTGACTATTATCTTATAAACCAAACACTTGTAAAATCATGTACACAGTCTTTTTCATGCTTTAAATGAGCTTTCAATTATAGTCTAGTCAATCTTAAAATGGAAAGAGGCATGGCAGCATAGTTGACTTTTGTGTGGAACTGGCAGGAATTGAATACAGGATAGTAAAAGTGGAGAGAGACACAGAGAGAGAGAGAGACAGAAGAGAAAGAAACAGAGAGTCAATGCATGACTGATGTTGAATTTCTTGCATAAGACTGGGCAGTAAATTTGGTTGGAATGGCTTTTTACCTTGGGGAGGAAGGAAGAGGGTGGAACTTACACAAAATGTTGCAGCGTGTAGCATTATGGTTCATTAGGGTGATCATGTGTTCTTTCTTTTTCTTGCTTTGTTTCAGAGCACGAACCAGCATTACAGGGCAATGCTTCTGGAAGTGAGGTCATGTGTTATGCTTTGTAGAGCACAATCCCCTTCATCAAGAAGTGTCTAATCCAAATCCATGTTAAAGACAGAAGAATATCTGTGACCTGAAAGTTTACCACCACCTCTCATTTATTTTATTTTATTTATTGGTTATTTATGCCTGCCTTCCTCCCACTTATCTTATCTGAACAGCAGATTTTGTAGGCATGCAACATACAACTCATCTGGTTGGAGTCTTTCCTATTATGGTAATTTATCCTGCAGTTCTAATTAAGCTACAACAATTGCTTCTCAATTTGAATCTATTCATATAAATTAGTGGGTAATGACACTTAAATATCTAGCTAACCCAATACCTCCCACGTCCTATCCACATGAGGTAAGCTACATGGAAAAATATAATTAATCTTCCATCAGACCTAGGTGAGATAACTTAGGACACCTTCCCTTCCTCAAATAAACACAGATGTCATTTCAACATTAACACTTCTTTTGGAAAAAGTCAATAGTGGAAATGAAACCACCACAGCTGGGACTGGTTGCAGCAGAATAGTATTGGGGCAGCATAAGGAGCAGGTAACTGCATCAGATGAGCCATCTGCTATCCCATGCCCATCATCCTACTGTGTTGTTGCATAACTCAAGGGAGCTGATAACCAAAGTGGTATGTACCCCCCCCCAGCACAAATCCACTATATTGGGGATATGGTTCCTGGTTCCAACTGTGGGGAACTATGGTGGTACTCTTGAGCTGGGCAGGCCCCTGTTAGTCTCCCACACCATGATAGCCTCCTATAGGGGATCACTTGCCTGGGATAAGGCTGAATGCCTCCCTTACCACAGAAAATGCCTCTCTGCTGCACCAACAAAGCAGGGACAAGATGTTCATATGTATGAATAACATCTGAAACTCTTCGCCCCCCCCCCATGAAATGTCATGTATTACAGGGACAGTGATAAGGCAAAGTACACTTGAAGACTGCCAGAGAGTCTCCTAGAGCTCCCTGTTTATACCAGCCTGGTGGATCAGATTGGAAGCTCCTACTATCAGTCCATCAGACCAGGAACTCCTTGCCTGAGCACCACTGCACTTACCAAGAGGCCCTCCCAGGTACAAGGATACCTGGGAAGGAGATCCACATAATGGTGATCGGCTCTCCAGACTGACTGGGCTGCAAATGGGGCCCCAGGTGAGTAGACAGTACTGGTTTATCCTGGCTTATCCTTTCTGTCTTAACAGTCATTCTGCCTGCTATATGCAGCAATGCTGAGGAAAATCAGGATAAAACTTGCTCTTAGAAGATGCACTGCTGTCACTCTAAAATGAACAAACCCAAACAAAAACACCAGAAGTGAGAAAGCTACTTTTAAAATTTAAATAATCACGTAACTCATTGTGAAACCCTTGAAGTAATTAATTACCAGAAATGTTAATGTTTTCCAAAGTAACTGATTCGGATCTGGTCTCGTTCCTTTTCAGGAAAAGAATCAAAAGTAAGAAAATGGCCTAATATTTGATGTGGGGAAAATCCCTGAAAATGCTCCCTCCAGCATTTTAGAACCTGCACATAACAACAATAAGAATAATAGCTGGTAAATGTAAAATCAAAAGCTCTTATGTTACTTGTTGCATTTGCAAAAAAGTAACATGCTAGAGATGCCATCATTCCTTTCAACGTGTTACTTTTAAGAACACATTAGACTGCAATCTACATGTGCTTGTAAGAATATCTGACTAGAAGAACTGAAGAAAAGACATTGTGCTTAGATGGGAAAAGATGGATTTGATTAGGAAAATTCCTAGAAAATATGAAGGGAACTGCTAGATCCATCCTGGCAGTTGATTTTCCTGTTGTGTTCATTAGAATTCAAGTTAACGTGAGAGATGTTTTGTTACTTAATATACACAATAGGATGAAGAACTTCTTTGTATCACAACAATACATTATTTATTAAATATTTCAATTTATTTTCTTTAGAGGCAGGTTTGGATTCCTAGTTTTCTTCTGCAAACTGAAGGCTTGCAATTCAGTGGAGGATCCGTTGGGTGGAAGGCGGAAAACAACGCTTGCTGATTTCCATGCATACAGCCCTGATCATTTTTCAGGGTCTCCCAAATGTCCAGAGCACGTGAGGTCGCTATAAGGGGAAGAAAGTACAGAGATAAACAGCACCCTCCATCTTCCCCTAGCAAGAGCATTCATTGTGTGGGACACTCTGTTCACAGAAAATTCTAATAAGGTGGAGAAGAAAACTCCTTGGGACCCAAGGCGTTGTGTTTCAACCATCTTCAGTTTAAAAATATACTGTATGTGAAAAAGAACTGACAGTGGCATCAAAGAGCAGCAGATATCAATTACATCAAGATATCATATGGAAATAGACCACACTTACGTTACTTTGGTTTCCATACCAAATTGCTGTTTAGAATAATAGAATATTTCAGTTACCATAAATAATTATATCTTTCCTGCTCCAACTTAAATGATTAAAACCATTCTGTCAAAACTTGTAGGTTTTTCCTCTCAGTCCAGCTGGAAAATTCCTACTGGACTTCTATAGCATAAAGCAGAGAGAGGGAGAGAGAGAGCAGTGGGGTCTAAAGAGATGCTAGGCTTTAACTCACCCCATAATTTCAGAGATGACTGTACTTGACACTTGCATCTAAAAGGGATGTGTATTTCTGTATGTGCTCACATTTGTGTATAGCTCCAAACAGATGATTGTCCTGTTTATGCATGATGGGGGTGAGGATGCAGGCTTAAATCCTGGTCCCATTGTCTCTACAGGGCTGACACCTCTTTAGATCTCCATCCTTTAAGCTTTAGCCCTAATGTGAGGAGGCTAAGCATCCTGAATAGGGTTTGAGACTGTCAACGTGAGCACCATTAATTATATCTTCCTCTTGAGAATGTTTTAGATTTAGAATTCATTGTTTCTAGACTTTAAAGTGAAACGGTTTTGTTGTTAGCTTAATCTTGTTGTTTGTATTT